CCCAACGCCCCATCTCCCCTCCCTGGGCCTCGGCACGGCCGACCTGTTTGTCTTAGCGCGCAGCTGCGTGCCCTCAAACTCTCCCTCTCTGCTCTCCCACCCTCCGCTATCGTCCCGACCGGTCGTAAGCTCCAATATTTGCTCAGCCGCGACGACACCTCGCTGACGGCGCCTCGTCTTTATCACCTCGGCGTATGCCGTCTAGTGGTGTTAGTTGCAGAAAATGTATGTCCAATGTCCGTCCAATTCCAATGCTTACGCCGATTTCCGTCCAAAATGTTTAAGCTAGCCATTTGTCCAAAGATGTCCGAAACCTACGCAATAGTTTACACTTAACACTGTTATCTTTTTTTTTTATGTATTTTTAGCAGCTTTAATGTGTTAATCATCTCAAAGGCTGATCTTTCTATTCGCCAATCAGTGTTAACCACGATTGCTTTATAGAAATGCTGAGGTGTAGCAATGATTGTCCAAAGTTGTCCAAACCTGCGTCATTGTCCAACCGAATTCCGGATTGGACATTGGACAAAATCGGAAATCCACAGATTCAAGCTACGATTGACACCACTAAATTGCCGTCTCACCCAATGCCGCCGCGCCCCGATGGAGGCCATTAGATACCCGCCCCTCTCCTATACGTGCCCGCCTGTTCTGGATCAGTTCGCACCATTACCTGCCGGGTAGAACTCGCGAGTTACGTCACGTGTCAGGTCATACCCGTCGTCGGGCCAGATATGGCTCGACGGGGACCACAGTTGCCAGGTCCTCCTGTGCACACGGCATGTACTGATCAGGTCTCACCCGTCGGCCGTGGCCATGACACGACGGGGACCACAGTTGCCAGGTCATCCTGTTCACACGGCATGTACGGATCAGGTCTCACCCGTCGGCCGTGGCCATGGCCCGACGGGGACCACAGTTGCCAGGTCCTCCTGTGCACACGGCATATACGGATCAGGTCACACCCGTCGGCCGTGGCCATGACACGACGGGGACCACAGAGTGCCAGGTCCTCCTGTGCACACGGCATATACGGATCAGGTCACACCCGTCGGCCGTGGCCATGACACGACGGGGACCACAGTTGCCAGGTCATCCTGTTCACACGGCATGTACGGATCAGGTCACACCCGTCGGCCGTGGCCATGACCCGACGGGGACCACAGTTGCCAGGTCATCCTGTTCACACGGCATGTACGGATCAGGTCACACCCGTCGGCCGTGGCCATGACACGACGGGGACCACAGTTGCCAGGTCCTCCTGTGCACACGGCATATACGGATCAGGTCACACCCGTCGGCCGTGGCCATGGCACGACGGGGACCACAGTGGCCAGGTCATCCTGTTCACACGGCATGTACGGATCAGGTCACACCCGTCGGCCGTGGCCATGACACGACGGGGACCACAGTTGCCAGGTCATCCTGTTCACACGGCATGTACGGATCAGGTCACACCCGTCGGCCGTGGCCATGACACGACGGGGACCACAGTTGCCAGGTCATCCTGTTCACACGGCATGTACGGATCAGGTCACACCCGTCGGCCGTGGCCATGACACGACGGGGACCACATTGCCAGGTCATCCTGTTCACACGGCATGTACGGATCAGGTCACACCCGTCGGCCGTGGCCATGACACGACGGGGACCACAGAGTGCCAGGTCCTCCTGTGCACACGGCATGTACGGATCAGGTCACACCCGTCGGCCGTGGCCATGACACGACGGGGACCACAGTTGCCCGGTCCTCCTGTGCACACGGCATATACGGATCAGGTCACACCCGTCGGCCGTGGCCATGACACGACGGGGACCACAGTTGCCAGGTCATCCTGTTCACACGGCATGTACGGATCAGGTCACACCCGTCGGCCGTGGCCATGACACGACGGGGACCACAGTTGCCAGGTCATCCTGTTCACACGGCATGTACGGATCAGGTCACACCCGTCGGCCGTGGCCATGACACGACGGGGACCACAGTTGCCCGGTCCTCCTGTGCACACGGCATATACGGATCAGGTCACACCCGTCGGCCGTGGCCATGACACGACGGGGACCACAGTTGCCAGGTCCTCCTGTGCACACGGCATATACGGATCAGGTCACACCCGTCGGCCGTGGCCATGACACGACGGGGACCACAGTTGCCAGGTCATCCTGTTCGCACGGCATGTACGGATCAGGTCACACCCGTCGGCCGTGGCCATGACACGACGGGGACCACAGTTGCAAGGTCATCCTGTTCACACGGCATATACGGATCAGGTCACACCCGTCGGCCGTGGCCATGACACGACGGGGACCACAGTTGCCAGGTCCTCCTGTGCACACGGCATATACGGATCAGGTCACACCCGTCGGCCGTGGCCATGACACGACGGGGACCACAGTTACCAGGTCATCCTGTTCACACGGCATGTACGGATCAGGTCGCACCCGTCGGCCGTGGCCATGACACGACGGGGACCACAGTTGCCAGGTCATCCTGTTCACACGGCATGTACGGATCAGGTCACACCCGTCGGCCGTGGCCATGACACGACGGGGACCACAGTTGCCAGGTCATCCTGTTCACACGGCATGTACGGATCAGGTCACACCCGTCGGCCGTGGCCATGACACGACGGGGACCACAGTTACCAGGTCCTCCTGTGCACACGGCATATACGGATCAGGTCACACCCGTCGGCCGTGGCCATGACACGACGGGGACCACAGATGCTGGCCTCTCTAGGCGCACGGTGTCGTGGTCAGCTAGGTACCCGCCCCTCTCCGTCACGCCCACTTCTATAGCGCCCGTCGAACGGTCCCCCCCCCCCTATCCCGTCTCCTCGTGGCCGTTCTACCTAGATCCTTCCCCCCCCCCCGCAGCCTATCGCTGCGCCCACCTGCCATCATGCGTCCGTCTCCTGTCGCTCCGTTGATGTTGTCCTGTTATTCCGTACACCAAACCGAGCACTTATATCGCATTCGTCGCGCGCGCCGCGCGAGAAACACTCCGCGCACCCCTTGTACACCGCGGCTCGGCTCACACTGCGCGTGTTATCGGCCGACCACGGCGGGGCCGCCGCGGTTCTGTTTGTTCTTCTCCACCCTTCTCGTTATCGCCCCCCCTCCCCCTCCCCCTTCCCTGGACCCCACTGGCTCGGTGTCGCGTCGTGTCACGTCGGCCCGCTAATCACGATTCAACGTCCCGTTAATGCTTGAGTGTGAACACTTCCCGAGTTTCTTCGTGGCTCCTATAGTGGCGTGTGGGGCCGAGGAGGCTGAGATAATTCCTCGATCCAGACGACAGCCCGTGCGGGGGTGTGCAGAGTGTGATCGGTCGTCTGTGTATTTTACTAGGTCGCTTGCACAAGTGGTCGTATGGCGCTGAGTCAACAGGACCGGGGCGGAGCGGTGTCGCCTGCTGCTGGATGAGAGAGTGACGGACCGTTTATACCGGGCAGCCTGTACGGCACGCTGGACGGACATTAGCACAGACGGTACTCGCTGGGAGACTGAGGCGCCGTTGCAGTGGCCGGACTTCTTCCACTTGTTCCGTACAGCCAAACGTTACTTCTGCTCATCAAAGCAGTTAGGCGTTTGGCAGTACAAACAATGAGAGATGGGGCACATTCGTCAGCAGTTAAGGGTCCTTTCCATAGCGATATCTTAGTGTGTTATTTATTGTGACGTATGCTTTGCTCATTGATACAAGAAGCCGATTTCCCAATGAACTGGTCAGAAGAGCAATCACTCGCGATTATAAATAGGGTGGATGGTTGCAAAACGTGCTCGCCTCTTTTCTTCTTGTCTGTGCCCTGAAATAAAACGCCTCAAAAATGGCTGGAAAGTGGAAGGTATAGCGAAGACCATCACACCTGTAGCTGAAAAGTAAATAAGTCTGTACCTTAACCTATCTAATGGAAACGTTTCATCAGCAGAGCCGGTTCAACTGCGGATGCGGGATGTAAACGTACAGGACGCAACACATTATCGATAAAATTAGCAAACATACAATCTTTTACCAATAACCAAACACTCGTCAAATTATTAGGATCGCAAGAAGTTGAACTGCACCTTAGCTGAATAAACAGTCGACATGCTACATCATACTCCGTCACACAAACGTTCCGAGAAGAACAAGAAATCTAATCTTCGTTAATGGACTGCATCATAACAGGCACGCTAACAAACACGACCATACAGCGAGCACAATGGGGTGGCATATGCCGTTCTGGTTCAGCACATTCCACGGCGAGTGAGCATTGCATCCCATTCAGAGCTACAGCGGGGTCCAGCAGGCAATATTCAATGCACAAAGCTCGGGACGCTGCTCTCAAATACGAGGGCGTTCAGGGAAGTCGTATTCAGTGCTAACCGCGGGTCACATCTATAAAGGTTTGCTACAAAGGGCGTCCAGATAGGGTAACGTTACATCATGGTGAACAGGAATGTTCATTTGAGCGCCGAAGGCGGCACTTTTAGGGCACGTCCGGAGGGCGTTCCGAGTATTGTTGTGGTCAGGATCCAGATCCGTAATAGGTCCAAAGTACCTGGCCGCTGCGAACTTTGCACTGGAAGTGTATGTATACTACCTCTGAACAAAGCCATGTAGGCCTGAGCGTGAACATCAGATGCCTTCCTAGACTAGACAACAAATCTCGCGGATTTGTAAAAAATACATTATCTTGGTAGGCATTTGATTGTTTCTATTACAAAGTGTGCAAATTAAAAGGTCAATTAAATTTGTTTGTGGCATCACCAATGAAATAGACCTCAAATCACAAGTGAAGCTGAAGCATGAAATGATTGACATACTATTTTTTTTTTTGGGGGGGGGGGTCATGTATGCTTTACTCCCGGGAATATATGGAACTGAGAAATACATTTATTCGATTATCTATGGTACACATTTCTGCTATCTTTTCAAATACTCTGCTCAGAGCGTAGGGACCGTTCTCGCTGGGTCTCCGTATTGCAGTGAGGGCGCCGCTATCCCCGGAACTCACCTCCGGGCCGGGCGGTCCCCGGATCCCCTTGTCTCCGGGTTCTCCGGGCGCTCCGGGCGGTCCGGGCACGCCGCGGCCTCCGTCACGGCCCGGCTCGCCCTTCTGGCCCTGCGAGACGATCGCCTGGCGCGCCCGCTCGCCCTTCTGACCTGAGAACGGGCACACGGGGCCAGGTCAGCGATGGGACGGTGGACAGACGGGCAGACATCACGTATAGACAGCGATGTCTGAAAGTGCAACACCAGCCCCTGCTCTCTTACAAGTTACAACCTAACTATGTATATTAACCCTCGCCCGCACATGCCATTTTCCCATCCTAGAACGCACATGGGGGGGGGGGGTGGTTGCCACCCCCCCGCGCCATTTCGTTCCTGTTGGAGATAGAGCTTAGCAGCAAAGACCAAAAAGATTCTTTGGGAAGAGACGAATCCAATGATACCCAGTTTTACCTTCTCAGGTCAGTCATTGACCTTCCAGGTCAGGTCAAACTAAAAAATGTTGCTGTTTTGGGTCACCGTTGGATATCAAGTGCGCTGCTTATCAAATACCGATGACGATGCTGTTTTCTGGTGCCAAGCCAGCTAGAACCTCTTTGTCACACTATCCGACCAGAATTTTGCTGCTGAGTTCATTTCAGGTCAAGTTAGGTCAAGGTCAATTATATGTGTTTGTATGGCTGTGTGTGTCTGTGTGTATACTGATGTGTGCACCGACTGCTTTTGGGTCCATATCACATGAAATTATGATCTGAGAAGCTTTTACCAAAAATGCAGTCAAAAAACTTCACAAAAAGTAAATTCAGCTTGCCTAAAACGCAATGATCTTAGATGACCTAGGTTGACCTTGACCCTGACCTTGACCCCTGTACATCGTCGAACAACATGTTCCATGATAGGTGGGAGGTAAGACTGGCAAAAAAGGCCGAAATCAGGGTGTCAAAAGCTCACAAGGCCCATGGCAAACGCAAGATGTTGAGAATTGGCCATTTGGGTCATGACATGACCTGAAAAACAAGGTCATATCTCCGAAACCAAAAATCACAGGAACTTGAAATTTTCAGTGGACATCAAGAAAGGATAGACAAGCAGCTATACGAAAAATCAGCCTTCTAGCTCTAAAAATGTTGAGTGCAGAGCAGAAAGACTGCCTGGGGGGGTGGCAACCCCCCCCCCCCATGTGCGGGCGAGGGTTAAAAGCAAATGTTCTGCGTGTGATTAATTAATGATAAACAATATTTTCCCTCATGTTTACAAATTCAATGTTTTCACAAAACCGATTTTACGACTTCGCCGAGGGTTCGCTTCGAACCCACAGGGCAGTCCACTTTAGACCCGTGGGACTCGGTCAGTGCTCCGGTCACTCGATATGGTGCTCAGTTTCAGCTGCTGTGGTGCACACTGGTGACATGTCACTCTGTGCGGTGCACTCGCTGCAGCTCAGGGCTCGCCTGCTTCCATCCCTCACAAACTTCAGCAGCTCGGCAAATAACGCTCCACGCAGTGCTGCTAGCCAAAGGATGTAAAAGCCACGTAGTTGACTTTGGCCCTGACATCTACCGTTATTTGAGGCGGATGATATCATGACTGAGATGCAAGCTTTGAGAAGAATTCGAGAAGGCACGCATACGTTTTTTGTTCACAAATGATAAGCTAAATGAGATTGCTGCGTTAGAAAGCCACGGAATTATTGACCCGCTTTTCTTTCATCCTTTCTGGCCTTCATGTCTTGGCCAAGGATACAGTTCATCCGAGACTCCCATCGACAATATTTGCGCCGCGCCGCTCGCAGTTCATCATCTCTACCCCGGCTGCCGTGCACCTGTCTGGGCCCGCTCGTCTCGTGTCCGCGATCCGTGACGGAGCACAGGGTCACGGAGAGGCAGCCAGCGCCGCGCCAGCTGCACGCCCCACCCCTCTCCGCCCCTCACCACCCGCCGCCAGACATTCCGCCGCCCCAGCGTCGGCGCCGATCTTAGATCGTCTGAGTCGATGAGCGGCTGACGAAGCGCTCTCAGCAGTCGGCGTTCAACTCCGCGACGGTGGCGGGGAGAGGAGCGCTCCTGAATGTTTGTCCCCAGCGTAAACACATTGGCTGGAGCCCGACTGCCGCCGACGCGACCGGTAAATATTTACCGCCAGCCGCCGATGGCACCAGTTATGCTGAGGAGCCGGCGGCCCGACAAGACAGGTTTTTATTAGCGTGTTCTAGGCCGCAGCCATGAGTTGAATCAATGGGAGAACGTTATGGAGATAGACGCCAATGACGATTGCATGACAACGCGATTATAATCAAAATGTGTAATTTATAGCAAGGCAAAAGATTTCGAGAGGAGAATGCACAACCGATCGACCTGAGTATGGTTTTATTCTAGAAGTGATAAGCATGCAAAAAGCTAGGCAGCAAATAAGGTAAGAACCAAGGGCCTACAAATACAAACTCAAGCCATTCACTGAGTTACACAAACAACTATTCAGTTTGATTGCTTGCCTTTAAATAATCGAACTCAAATAGAAAGAGCCATTGTTCACGACCGTCTGGTTTATTGTTTTGGACGATTCATTGCCTCTAAGGGACAATTAGCCACCCAGGTTGATGCTCTGTTTTGGTGGGCACTATTTTGTTGCGTTCCTCCGCCGCCGAGCGGTGCCAGCGCCCCGGTCACGGGTCGGGGCCGGTGTGAATCACACCGCAGTTGGCCCGCTCTGCCGCTGTTTACTGGTAGCTGGAGTCGGCCAGCGTCAGGCGTGTGACCTCAGCTGACAGAACTGGCTCGGCGGCCAGCCCCGCGGGCCACCAGGGGTCAGCCCCAAGGCCACAGCCTCAGCTAAAGCCAGCCACAGCCTCAGCTACACCAGCCACAGCCAGCCGCAGCCACAGCCTCAGCCATACTAGCCTCAGCCATACTTACCACAGCCAGACACACACAGACACAGCCAGACACAGACACAGCCAGCCACAGCCACTAACAGCCACTGGCTGTGTGCGGAACTCCGGCTATCGAGGGTCATTTGGCTGGCTGCTCTTTCGTGAAAACTACAATAGAAGTCGCGGCAGTCACTTCCGCCACCAGCTCTGTGCGTGTGGTTTCTGTGTCTCGCCCCCGCACCGACGGGCCCAGAATAACAGTCGCGGTGATCCCCACTGATCCCTGCGCCGCGGGCACCACCGGATGGCGGGGCTCGAACAGAGGAGGTCTGTGCCCAGCGCGTGTCAGAGGGACGGCATACGCTATACCAGTTGGAAAGGAAGAGACGGAGTCAGCATATGACAAGATATGTGACGTGACACTAAAGTAAACGTTCAATAATTGCAGGGTAGTGCCGAGTGCGGTCTTATTCGGGTCTTAGACTAAAGAGATGCTACCAGTTTTTGCCGCCTTTGCAATGATCGTTACGTGATCTTTTAGGTGCGGATTCATGCAAAACGATAGAGACGAAGCTGCTGATCATAAAACCAAATGTGATTTGCACGGATAGTGTGCGAGTTTCCGGATTTTTTTTTAGCTTGAAATGCACTAGAATATCGAATACGTCAATTTACAGATACCTATACAGATATAACATAACGGTTTACCACCAAGCACGTGTACTTTGCTCTCCGCCAGTGTCCATGAGTTGTCGGAAAGCGGTGTCGGTCTGTGAGCGATAGCATGAGCGCTGTTCGTCCACAAATAAAACGGTCTGGGCCCGGCGGCGGCGGTTTCCTGCCGTCACTCTGCACTTTGTCAGCCGGCCGACCGCACTACCGCGGTGGTCCCACCAGACTAACCACACCGACCAAACGCATCGAACATCGAAACGAAAACGCATCGAAACGCATTACCTAATTGAGCGACCGAAGCAGCCTAGCCCACTAAACTTCAATAAATGATCAGATTTTGCATCGATGGCCAGAGGCGGATCCAGCTCAGAGTTTTTTTTTTTTTTGGGGGGGGGGGGGTGCAAACCATAACAATTTATCGATTCTTTCCATGCATCGTCCATAGGCGTAATGTTAAAATCATGCCGTTTGGGAGGGGGGGGGGGCAAATGCCCATTTTGCCCCCCCCCCCTGGATCCGCCACTGTCGATGGCAGACCATATGTTGGATATAGCATAGCAAGTGCTGCGCAATGCAACTTGACACGGACCATGGCTCCGTTATCCTCATGCACGACAGTCTTTGGTGTCTCTGAGTAAGTTCTGCCTCTATCGAACGCCTATGGACCGATCAGCCTCGTGACGGTGACGGGAGAACGCCACGGGACCAAACAAGCGACACACCCTGGACTCACCTTTGCTGCCCGGAATTCCGGGGAAGCCGGGCGGTCCAATGGGTCCGGGCGTTCCGGGCACTCCTGGAGGTCCCTGAGGAGGAGAACGCGGTGTCACAGAGTGCACGTTTGCGATAATTGCTTTCATAAAGCACTTCAATGTACAAATTAATCGCAGAATGATCGATATCGTGGCTTCTGCAGACATAGCCCGTTCTCTGTTTTATTGGTACGGACAAATGCTTCGGTTACGGGGCACATTCTCACTGCCCAGTGCTCTCAGATCAGCAATAAGTGCCTACAATTAGCAGAGTAACCTTATGTGTTCATTGATGAACAAGGCGTCCATCGGGGTGTCCTCAATGTCCACTGTACTCACGTCCGTTCCATTGCAGCCGTCCACGCCTGGGAACCCTCGCGGCCCGGCCGGCCCCGGCAGGCCCGGGATGCCGTTTATGCCGGGGAAGCCCGGCAGACCCATTTTACCCTGCGTGGAGAGAAATCGGATGTTATCAGCCGGAGGTTACAGTGTACTCAATACAGTAAGCAAGTCACAATGGGAGTAGCTTGCAGGTTGAAGCGACAGTTCAAACATTGACAAGGAAAACATCATTTACGCTGAAATAAAACGAACATTTCATCACCAGGAGAGAGCTACATACACATGAAAACGTCCGTAAAAAGCGGATTATCGCAGAAGTTAGCCAACAGAGCCAATTCTGATAGACAAAAGGTGGTTTGATAACCATACTCACCCGGGCACCGATCAGACCTCGCGGGCCCTGGACGCCGATGTCACCCTTGGAGCCCTTTGGTCCCGGCAGGCCCTCCATGCCAGGGAAACCCTGCATACCCTTGGCCCCGCTGGGCCCCTGCGCACCCGGCGCTCCCTGTGAACAAAGGACAGGTAATGTCAGATATAGGCAGCAGCGCGATATTTTTTCATGTGCTGAACAAGAGTATACATTTAGAAAATCAGAATTATGTGCTGTTCAGTGTGAGTTCTTTGCTATCCACTGCAGCATAATTGCAATGCCTAATGAAATTATAGTTAAAATACATTTAAAATGCTCAAATATTTAAATAATGTAGTTCTTCGAAAGGGTCGTTTTCATTTATTGCGTCATTGTCTGTCTCAAACTTTTCTTCGTATCACTTCTGCCTGCCATTTTTGCTCCCAACCTCTTCCCTGCCGTCTCCGCCACTCACCCGGCTGCCCTTTTCTCCGACACATTTGCAGCCGCCGGCGCCGCAGCCGCCGGAGCCGCACTTTTGCGTGGCGTCTCGCGGCCGAGGCTCGCCGTCACCGCCGTCCTCCCGAGAGGCGTAGAAGCCGTAGTCGTAGCTGCCGCTCCTGCCGTCCGTCACCGATAGAGGCGAGTAGTCCTGCCGCTGCTGCAAACGCACAGAAAGAAACTCTGTGACTACCGAGCGCCAAAACATAGCAGAACGAGCCATAGAGATTGCAAACCAGCATTTGCGAGGTTATCGCGGGAGGAATATGAAACATCGGCAGCCATGATGAATGTACGGTAGCGGCGGTTAGGCGTGCGGTTTTAACAAACCACAAAAGATAAACGCTCGAGACGAAACATGATTTGCTTTATCAACAACCAATGCAAGTAGTTTACCGTAGATGTGAAAGCTTAGAACTTGAGAAAGCATAACAAAAAGTAAAAACTAAACGTTCTCTCAACAGCACTCAACCCAACATGGTCACTCAACATCGTTCGCTCATCGCCCCTCCCCTCCATCAGCCGCCGGAGCGCTCTCTCATCACGGTTCCCCGCCACCCGTCCGTCACAGCTCCAATATTCGTGCCGTCACCACCCCATCAACCCGAATTGCGGCACAGGTGAGAAGTGAGCAGATGAGAGCTGAGAGATGAGAACTGAGTGAGAGGCGGGAGGGACGTCTAACCGTTAAATTTGAGGGATATCTATTATCTACATATAGGGATACAAAGCGCCTATTTTGAACTTTGCTTTTTGAATTTCAAATGAGCACTCGTCCGAAGTCTTTAACCGTCTCAAAAGACGGTGTTTAACAGTAACAATCATATTCTCGAATATTTCCGCTCCTAACTGACACTCATGTCCTCGAGGTGACATGGAAGGCAGCACGGCGTAATGTCTCAGTGCGAAATGGTGTCCCGGTCCTGCTGCAGGAACGGACATTACAAATGAGGTCATGTTTATATTTCATGGCAGATAGTGTCTGAAGACTCGTGGCACCAGACATGCGCAGAAATCCAAAAGGTCGCCGTCCTATTCATGCGTAGTTTTATGTGGTTGCAAGCCGAGGGGATATCAGCAGTTAATATTTGTCAATTTAAGATTACATAATAAAGTCATATAGGATACAAATACTGGTGACAACCGTAAACACGTTCATTTGGTTTCATGACCACAACGACTGTTACCTTAGACGAGCATAAAAATTAAAATACTTATGCTCCTCATTAATACTTGACTGCCTAAAGTTGACAGTTCTCATTATCCAGTAAACGTTATTCAGTCAAACAAAACAATTATACAAACAAAGCGTCACTGATTCGTCCTTAACTTCTTCAGCCAGCCCTGATAAACATGTGCGCGATTACCTCAGACAGACAGCTAGACATCCCACGCGTAGCTGACAGCGATGAACTAGGCCATTGAAATTTGGCTCAAATTACGTCATCTGGCCCTGTGTGCGTGTCATCATGTGTCAGAGTTTACATAGGCCGGGTTTGTCCGCGTGTCTGCACGCGCTCGTCGTTTCCAGCGGAGCGGGGCACGCGGCGCATAGTGGAGCCGTTTCCAGGAAGCCAGAGCAGAGCGCTTGTTATCGCCACTGCCACCAATGTGATAGCGGCCAAAGTGCCAGGCCGACACACAAACACACATCGTATCTGTAACAGCGGTGACAGTGCAGGCAGGCAGACACCACTGTCTCTGCCGTGACAGTGGCGGCTATGACAGGCCGCCGCCGCCGCTGCGCGCCTCGTGCGTGTCGCGTACAAACAGCGAGAGGTCGACGTTTTAGAGCGGCGCCCTGCTCTCCGTCAGCGCCGGCTGCCTTGAATTTGACAGCGACTCACATAAACAAGCCCCGCTCGGCCCGCTCAAAACGAGGCCTCTTGGTCAGCTCTAAGTAGAGCGGTTGGGCTCCCGGACACGTTTTGACGTACCAATAAATGGCTCATTATGTGGGTTCGGTCGTTCCGGAATCCTGACGCTTGACTGTATGTCTGTAACATGTGAATATTTTCAAGTCGTTAAAAATGAATGACAATGGTACCGGTCATCGTATTTAGCGGCCTGTTACTCTTCCCTGTCATTGGCCAGGTCAGGTCAGGCCAGGGTCCCATCAGGCCTCACCTTGTTCAAGACCACTTAGCACAGGTTCCAACACAGTACCTTGTCACAGACCACACGTACAGTACGGGTCCCAGCACGGTACCTTGTTATAGACCACACGTACAGAACGGGTCCTAGCACGCTGCCTTGTGACAGACCACACGTACAGTACGGGTCCTAGCACGCTGCCTTGTTACAGACCATACGTACAATACGGATCCCAGCACGCTAACCTCACGTACAGTACGGGTCCTAGCACGCTAACCACACGTACAGTACGGGTCCTAGCACGCTGCCTTGTGACAGACCACACGTACAATACGGGTCCCAGCACGCTAACCTCACGTTCAGTACGGGTCCTAGCACGCTGCCTTGTTACAGACCACACGTACAGTACGGGTCCTAACACAGTATCTCGTCACAGACCACACGTACAATACGGGTCCCAGCACGCTAACCTCACGTACAGCACGGGTCCTAGCACGCTGCCTTGTTACAGACCACACGCACAGTACGGGTCCTAACACAGTATCTCGTCACAGACCACACGTACAATACGGGTCCCAACACGCTAACCTCACGTACAGCACGGGTCCTAGCACGCTGCCTTGTTACAGACCACACGTACAGTACGGGTCCTAACACAGTATCTCGTCACAGACCACACGTACAATACGGGTCCCAGCACGCTAACCTCACGTACAGCACGGGTCCTAGCACGCTGCCTTGTCACAGACCACACGTACAGTACGGGTCCTAGCACGCTGCCTTGTTACAGGCCACACGTACAGTACGGGTCCTAGCACGCTGCCTTGTTACAGGCCACACGTACAGTACGGGTCCTAGCACGCTAACCTCACGTACAGTACGGGTCCTAGCACGCTGCCTTGTTACAGACCACACGGCGAGCCCGCCGCAGCCAACAGAAACACGGCGTGGGAGGTGATAGTCGTCGGCACAATGCCTGGAACCGACTCCGTCAACAGATGAATCGTTAGCACGCCCTCCCCTGCAGGCCCCGTCCCACCAACACAACAATGCTGCATGTCTTCTCTTCGTGTGCTCGGGAGCAGATACGTAGCAGTGGATCTGTCCTCTCAAAACTGTGGTCTGGGTCTGATGTGATGTTTCCAAGAATGAAATAAGGTTAAGATTCCTGTGGAGTGCTGGAATCGAGTGACTACTGCGCCGCGGGCTCAGCCAGACCGCCCTGCTGTGATTATGACTTGTGCAGGGAATGGCATGTTACACGATTCCGACCGACCGTCGATCGTCCACCGCCGCACCGGTCGCAGTCTTCAGTAAGTAAACAGTGCGATATCCGGTGACAAGGGCGGTGGCACTGTGACGAAACTGTCACCCACGCACGGTGGTGGGAAGGGTGCAGCTGACCGCACTGTCGAGCCCACACAACAAACCACTGTCGCCACCGACAGCCGCAACATGCATCAGCTGCAACAACATTGGCCAGTGGCCACCACCGTCAGCAGCCCACAGGGTAAGCAGTAAGACGTGCGGGAAATCAGTGTCTCATCGGCGAAGTCGAGTGACGAACCGGATGGGGGCTCGCCACACCCGTGCCTGCTGAGGTCGGGTGAAGTCACGGTTCTCGGCTAGTGCGCCAGTTCAACCAGCCTCCGCAGCTGACCTGAGCAGTGAGTCCCGGCGCTGGACTTTGGGCCGAGTGTGGATGTTACCGCTGGCGGGGGCGGGGGCGGGTGCAGCGGGAGCGCCGCGGGTGCGGGCGGGGGCGGGGGCGGGGGCGGCTGCAGCTGTCGCCGTCTGTCCGGCGCCATCTGAGGTCAGCGGGCAGTGCCAGCCGCGCCGGAAACACGGCCGCGTCACGGCTCGACGGCCCACTTCAAACGCGGGCCGCTGCTCGCGCGCTGTCGGCGCGGCGACGCACGCAGACTGGCACCGCGCCCACCGCGCGTCGATGACATGCCGTCAGGATCAGAGAGCTCAGGACATCCCCTGGTTAGACCGAACTCGACCACTTCCCACCTCTGTCGCCAGGGCTACACCCACCGACAGATCGTAAGCCAACGAGATCAGTGGTGTTTATCAAATCAGCGGCGGCACAACAAAAACCACGGCTTCAGATCCACCTGACTGCGAGCCTATCCGCAGAAATTGGCAGAAAGTTGGGCCGTGTCAACGACCGAGTGACCGCGATGGGCTCGGCTCTGTGGCGGAGAGGGGCGGTGCCTCGGTACCGCGGGGCTCTCCGGGCGCGGGCTCTACCCTCTTGTGAACGTGCTCTGCGGGGTGAGGTCACGCGCAGCCGCCACACAATAGCCGGTAACTGGCCGACGAAACGTGCCACGAGCGGGAGCGAGCGGGACGCGGTCAGAGCCTGCGTTCCACCGGAGCGGGGCGGCCAGGGTGGAGGCGGCGACGCTGAGGGTGTAAGAAGGTATGAATCTTAATCATCAAATAACCCGACTTGAGGGCGGTGAACTTTAATGAGCATGGCTTATCCTTTGGGAGTCGTTACATCCTCGGTAAAGCGTTTAAAACGGCCTGAGCCCCGAACTACATCTCTCAAATCTCAGTTCGTGGAACGCCTATGCCATTTCGGTGGTGTAGGTCGCTGCAACGAAATACGAGGGCACAAAACCGGACGGCTAGCACTAGTTACACTTTCTTTATGGGTTGTTCAACTTTGTAGGACATGGGCTATAAATTCGCTTGTGCATGTAGAAAGGCACATATGAATTATGATAAGTTATTTTGTAAACGAACAACGAAGGCCGGAGCAGTTGAATATATACATAGTTATTTGCTGAGCAGCTAGCGCAGTACCTATTAATGTTTCAGCTATAAAGAAAATGAATGAAATGGGTCATATTAGCACAATTAGGTAGTGATTCAATTCAACGTTCGTACCGAAGTCGAAGTGGCAACGGGCAGAGCGCAGGCATTTCAAATTAACTTCAAATGTTTGCGTATGTTTCATAGACTGCGCAGCCATTTGAGCATCTCAAACAACTATAATACGCACACGTTGCACAATGCACAATTCATTCGGTTGCACGGCGCGGTATGCTCCCC